TTCACGTGTGTTTTCAGGGTGATGCTTCGACTAGAGGCAGTAAGGTTGATTCAGAACTCGTAATGGATTATAGTAATGAATTTGTTACTCATGAGGTAAGTCTTTGATTGTTTTACAAATAATGTACTTTTTTATGTGCAATAATTGGTTAGTTTAATTTATTTATTTTAGATATTCAAAAGTCGAGATGAGTTAATTCAATGGGCACATCAAGTTGGAAGAAGAAATGGATTCGTTTTTGTCGTGCAGAAATCAGATAGGGGTAGTATTCGAGGTAGGAAGCCAGGGCTTAGCTTAGCTTGTGAGAGGAGTGGATCTTATAGGGACACTCAAAAAAATAGCAGGCCTAAGACAAAAAAAGCAAGACTGACTGGTACAAAAAAATGTGAATGCCCTTTTTTCTTAAAGGGCAAAAAATTAGCCACAAATGATAACTGGATCTGGATAGTTGTTTGTGGTGTGCATAATCATCCTACTGCAGAATATCTTGAGTGTCATTCTTATGCTGGAAGGTTGTCACATGAGGAAACCTCTTTGTTGGTAAACATGTCGAAAAGTATGGTACGACCGAGTGAGATATTGGTTACATTGAAACAACGTGTTGATGCAAATGCTTCCACAATGAAGACAATTTACAATGCACGTCATAGGTATAAAGTTGCTGAGAAAGCTGGGAGATCTCAAATACAACAACTATTAGGTCAGTTAGCGATGAACATGTACATTGAATGGCATAGAAGCGGTGCAGATACTGAGACAATGACTGATTTGCTCTTTGCACATCCTACTAATTTGAATTTGTTACATGCATTTCCAAAAGTATTGCTGATGGATTGTACTTACAAGACCAATCGATATCGGTTGCCCCTTCTAAAGATTGTAGGTGTGACATCGACAGACATGACCTTTTCAGTTGCATTTGCATACCTCAAGTATGAGAAGGAGGATAACTATTCATGGGCACTTGGTCTTTTGCGTAGTGTCATGGATGAAAATACTTTTCCTTCTGTTATTGTCACAGATAGATAATTGCCCTTATGAATGCCATATGTATGGTGTTTCCTGCAACTAGAAAATTGTTGTGTAGATGGCATACTGGAAAAAATGTGCTTGCTAATTGCAAAAAGATGTTCGAGATAAAGGATAAATGGGAAATGTTTATAATGAGTTGGAATATGTTGGTTATGTCATCGTCTGAAGAAGTATACATGCAACGACTATCTTTGTTATATAGTGAGTACTTATCAAGATGCACTTCATTATGTTACCTCATCTTGGTTGGATACATAGAAGTCGAAATTTGTGGCTGCTTGGACTTACACATATATGCACTTTGGAAATTCTATAACAAATAAGTAAATACGAACATTTAAATTTATTAGTTGTTTGGTTTTTTTATAACATTACTTTTATAACAGTTTATTTTCATATATAGGGTTGAGAGTTCGCATGCAAAACTTAAAAGATATCTTGGATCAAGTCAAGGAAATTTTGAGTCGAATTGGACAAGGATACACAATTTACTTGAGTTGCAACATAGTGAAATAAAATCATCATTTAAGAAAAGCAAGATAGTTGTGCAACATGATTTCAAACCTATGCAGTTTAAGGAGTTTCGTGGTAATGTCTCAATTACTGCATTAGAGATCATATTGGCAGAGTCTAAACGAGCATCTTCTATTGGTATTGATATTACTACATGTGGATGTGTTGTTCGATGTACTCATGGTTTGCTATGTGCACATGAGATAGCAAATTACATGAGGGAAAATCGACCAATTCCCCTCACTTCGGTTATTCATATTGGACTAAGCTTGATATGTTGAGTACCCCACACACTGTAAGTGAAGAGTGGACTTGTACATCTGAGTTAGAATTATTTGCCAAACGATTCGAGGAGGTGGATCCAGATGTGAAGAGGTTTTTGTTACAAAAGTTGAGGGAGTTAGCCAGACCTGATTGTACATTTTTGATTGAGCCAGGAGTGAAGTCTAATCCACGGGGTCAGCCAAAATTGAAGATTGAGACCTCCACTCATTGTGAGCCATCTGCATTTGAAATAGTTACTTCAGCACAAGATAGTTATTCACCTGGAGTCATTGCCAAGGCAAGTGTAACAACAAAAAAGATGAAAACAAAGAAGAAAGAAAAGGTACATGATTTACTAGTGAGGTATGTAATTGTGACATATTGTCTACTTTATTGTCTAACATTAGCACTGGCCTGTGATAGGTTCACTGGCTTCAATCATTGAATCCAAATTGGTTTTTAGAAGTATTCCCTTCTGAATTGAGACGATATATTAAATACGTTAAGGATGTTGCAGCATATGGCAATTGTGGGTTCTGAGCTATTGTTGGTTTGATGGGTTTTGGAGAAGAAGGATGGTTACAAGTGAGAAAAGATTTACTTAAAGAGTTGCATGCGCATAGTGACCACTATAGGAAATTATTTGGATCACAAGAGAGAATCGATGACCTTACCAACATCTTGGCATATTTTGAACCAAACCCTGGGTTGGACCGGTGGATGACGATGCCTGACATGGGCCATCTTATATCGTCTGTCTACCAAGTCATTTTGGTCCACTTGTCTATGCAACAATGTTTGACATTCCTCCCTCTTAGGTCAATTCCGACGTCTGTTGCCTCTCGCAAGGAGATATGTATTGGCTTTGTCAACAACAACCATTTTGTTCAAGTATTGGTTTCTAATATTTTTGTACATTCTAATATTTTTGCACATTCTTGTACATTATAACGACAAATTTCTTAATAACGACAACATTTTTGTACATTCTAATTTTTTTTTTTTTTTTTATAGCTCATTTTGGAGCCTGGTCATCCTATTCCACACATAGCAACTACCTGGTGGAGGTACCATGACCCTTGTGCAGTAGGCTAGAAGGTTGCATGCAGTTCCAGAGTGCAACATTTCAAATCACTCATTAGTTTAGACGTAGCCACAATCGAAACAATAGACCTGGATGAGGACTAATGTCATACGAGTGAGCTAGGAAATAGAATTAGAATGGATTCCAGTTATGTAATTTTCTTTGTTAAACTAACTTATAATGGAAAATAGTGAATTGGAATGGATTTAAGTTATGTATTTTGAATGGATTTAATTCACGTTATTTTCTTTGTTCTAATGAATTGGAATGGTAAACAGTGAATTGAAATGAATGTTATTTTCTGTGTTATACTGAATTGAAGTTGATGAAAAAAGTGAATTAGAATGGATTCAAGTTACACAGGGATGAACAAATTTTGTTTGGACATACAGTGCTGACAGGATCATTATTGTTCGACAAAATAGTTTTGAACAAAATACATTTTTTCGGCAATACAGTGGTGAACAAATTATTTTTATTCGGTTCTACAATGCTGAAATGAGTAGGCCAGCAACTGTGAAAGGGCTAGCAAGCATTTATGTTCGGCACTACAGTACTAAAAAAACCATATATGTTCGGCATTACAGTGCTAAACGAAGACTACTTGTTCGGCATTACAGTGCTGAATGAGTCATTTTGATTCGGTTTTACGGTGCTGAACGAGGAGGATTTGTTCGGTTAGTCAGTGATGACCATAAAATTCATGTTTATTCATTAGTCCAGATTTGTTTATTCAGTGATGACCATAAAGCAATAAACAAACCAATATTTCAAACAAACAAACTATCAAACCAATTCAAACCATCAAACAAATTCCAAACCATCAAACCATCAAACTAATTCCAAACCATCAAACCAATTCTAAACCATCAAAATAATTCATTGAGTGCCCAAAAAGGTATGGTAAAGTCATATACAAGCCTAGCTCATACTTGTGTCATATACAAACCACCATCAAAATGTATGCCAAAATTTTTTTCCAAACAAACTAGCATATACTAAAGTGTAATCTGACCTTTCTTATACTTGTGTCTAACACCATCAAAAAGTCTAACATATGCTTGAGATTAACATTTCAAAATACACATTTAAAACATTTGAACCCAACAAATACTAAAGTCTAAGACGTTGCTCCATGGTTCCTGCGACGAGTGTACACCAAGTTCTCTGATGGTGTATGTTCTTCAGTGGACTGTTGGCCCTCCAAGACTTGTGTTATCTTCTTCATAGCATTGCGTAACATATCTCGGGTGGGAGTTGCTTCATTGTATCCGATTTCGAGCATTGAACGTGAAATGCTTAAGGCACTGTCAATGCACTGCAAACAATAAAATAAAACTTAACAATTGCCTTAAACAAAATATATATGAAAATGAAAATAGTAAAAATTGACATACGAATTGAAGTTGACGATAATCAATTGATGTCTCAGTGCGTGGGTTATACTTAGAACGATGTGTCGGGTTTTGAACTTGCACGTGTGAAATAGAAGTAAATCAGTCCAAGTAACCTGGCACACAATCCCATGGATGCAAGACTAGAACACTACGAGCTATCTCAGATAACAAGTGATTTTCCCAACTCTCCCAAATTGTATCCAAGTATTTATAGGCAATGATGTACTGTTTTGCAGTGGATCCTCTAGAGGCTCGAACTGGAGCAAGCGGAGGTGAGGGAATAATTTGCACCCTACCAAACTGTCTCAGTACCCTATCTGGATGGTATGGTTCAACAATATGCATACATTTTAAGCATCCACTATAGTAAGCAACATCAGAAAAAGGATGCTCAATACGCTTATCATGGTATGGATCCCAAATAACCTACAATAGTAAAATTTTTATATGTAAGCTATGAATTAGGTTGAATAATAACAAGTAATATGTACATACATTGACATAAGATTGACACTTACATCATAGGCCTCTAATCTGTTGAGGTCCTCTCGTAACCTTTGTAAAATAGACGTTGACGAACTAGATTGGGTGCGAGAAATCCAACGAAAGACACGAGGCTGATCTTCTTTGTAGTCCAAATTGAGGTGGGGTCTAGCACCAACAAAATGCTCGTAAATCCAAGCTTCCAGTAATGTCATGTATCCCGCCATCTATTTCACGGCATACCTTGTGGCAGTACCCAATTGCCGGTATAAAAAAGCCAATGCGGCTGCGCCCCAAGCATAAGAAGCAAATGGTCGCAAATCCATAAGAAAAGACAAATACACTACCGGAACACGTGTGCCAGTCTTGTCTGCAAATAAGGTACAACCTAACAAATATAACAAATATGCCCTAGCTGCACACTCAATGGCATTATCATTGTCTGCATCAGACACTGACCTAAACCGTTGTCTCAACCATTCTACCTTGATAGGCTGGCCCCGTGCTACCTTCAACGCTACATTTGTCTCATCTATTGTTACTCCCAAGGCCTCAATTAGCAGATTTGCAGTGTCAACATTTGATAACTTCTTGCAAGAGACTAATTTACCAATCACTGGAATCCCTAGAATTACACTAACATTATCTAAGGTTGGTGAGATCTCACCAAAGGGTAGATGAAACGTGTTTGTCTCTGGTTGCCATCTTTCCACGAAGGCCGAAACTACAACTTTGTTTACAAATTTATATGAGCAACTCACTAAAGAAATCAACCCCGAATCCATAATTAAACCATGAAATTTGGACTGTTCATTCTCTTCCAAGTTGAATGACCATTCACTAACTTTAAAGCCATGATTTAAGCATTTAAGTATTCCACGTTCCTGCAACATAGAATAAAAAATAAAAAAAATTAAAAAAATAAAACTAGTAAAGTAGAAACAAAATTTAAAACATTAAATTAATGTAAGACAATGACTTACATTATTTTGCCAAACTTTTGTTGCTACGTGACAATGAAAACTCTTCAAAATTGAAGGATCATATGGCCTTCCAGGAAAAGGTCCAGTAAGATCATCATTAACTTTTTTAGTTGTATCTGCTGGTTGGTCTTCATAGTCACCCATGTCTGTTGGTTCATCACCCGGATCATCACCTATGTCTGTTGGTTCATCACCCATATCTATTGGTTCATCACCTAAATCATCACCCGTGTCACTCACATTCAATTGATTGCCCCCATCGTTTTCAACCTTAACCATTTTTGCTAGAGCAGCACCTATGTCATTCATGTCATGTTCATTAACTTCACTACCTTGATCCTTAGCCTTACGAGTGTGCCGATGTCTCTTAGCCACTTTTTGAGAAAGTACAACATTACGTCTCCTAGACGCTATTGGGCGATCTCGAGCAGTTTCCACCATAGCTGTCCACCAAGTATAATTAGATGTTAGTCAATGACAATGTAAGCAAATATAACCAATGTCAATTACCCTTAATAATATAGTCAGTCCTTTCTATGTATCGAAAATGCATGTCATCTAGGGACATTATATATGTAACTTATAAGCCATTGAAGCCTATCTTAAATAGGTGTGTCATGACCAATTCAAATAGGAAACAACAAACTAAGATAGTTTCGTACCAAACACAAAATGAATAAACGATAAAAAGAAACTACTAAAAATAAGATATTTGAGTTGGACCAAAATTTGAGAATTATAATGCATTAGAAGCATGCCAAGAGCAAGGCCATCAAAAACAAAAAAAATCCTACATAAAATTATAGACAAAAACAAAGCTTTCCAAAAAAAGTGCAAAAATTTAAGAGCCTAAACAATGGAATTTGGTATTAAAAAAAAAAGGCTTAGTACACAGTAAAAGCTATGTGTTTTGCTTCTTAGGACATTTCGGATTGATTATAAGTCCTTAAAGAAAATTCAACATTGGCCCAAAGCCTATATTTGCAATATAATCACATGCATCTCCAAGTTGATATAATGTGCTAAAATTAGCACTGTTTTCAAACAACCCACCTACCTCTTGCTAGGTTTATGATGTGTATTGTGCTAATTAGAGTTAGTTTATGTGGAAGACAACTAGTACAAGTGTTATGTGATTATGTGGCTATAAGTTGATGTATGAAAATACATGGAAAAGAAGCTAAAAATGTGAATTAAATAATCTGGCTTGTCGCTACCCTGTTTGCCTCCTCTTTCCCCCCCCTTTCTGTGCAGAAAATTTAGATATAAGTTTTGTACTATATGTACAGTACAGACATAAAATGGACAAAACCAACGGCAATGGCAATGCCTTACAACAACAGAAAAGGAACAATTTTACACTATATGTACAGTACAGACATAAAAACCTCACACTTACAAAAAGCAACTGGTCCTAACACTCCAAGACAAAGATCAGCCAAACATATTTCTAAAAGACAAAGGGTTCTAATATTTATTTTTTTATTTTATTTCTAGTTGGTATGTAGACTTCTATTACATTATAATATTCAAGCCATCCATTAGATTATAATATTCAGACCTCTATTTCCAAAAACAAAAATTGAATTTTATGTGGAATCAGGCCATCCATTACATTATAATATTCTCCCACAATTAGGGTTTTGTGTGGTTGTGGTTTTGGTTGGTAAAGGGTTTTTTTGTTTGTGTGGTTATGATTAATTGAAGAGAAATGGGAATTAAATTATACCTTTGATGGTAGATGAAAAAGTCTACAGCACTTAAAAGAAAAAAGAAGTAAACCGTACCTTTGTGTGGTTATGATTCAAAAGTGTTGAAGCACTTGTAAGAAAAAAGAAAAAAAAAAGAAAAGAAAGTAATGTCCCAAGCACTTCAGCAGCAAAATGGATTCAATCGCTGTGGAGAAGATGAATACAGTAGACCGACGGTCAGGGAAGGAGAGGTATGAACAATTAGGTGGGTGTGCATTTTATTGTGAAAATATTATGAATATGGGTAGATTTGGTAATAAGTGATGTGTCCAAAAAAATATTATTAAAATTTAGGATTTAGGGTTGGGGTCCAAAGAAATGGGAGGTCCAAAGAATTTTGGCAGGTGCTAATAGTAACACTCATATCATAACTTATTTTTATAGGAGTCATAACTAACTAAACACCACTTAAGATATAATTAAAGAACTCTTGGATCATAACTAATATCACAATAAGTTATAATCAAATATCACAAAAATTGTAACTAAGGGTGCATATGATACACATTCCAAATTTAAAATTTTCCTAAAAACAAATAAATATGACCAAAATTATTAAATGATTGCAATGATGATAATCATATAATATATCAAATGTGATATAAAAATATTATTAGAATATTATTGATATAATTTTGGAGAGAGCGATTAAAGAAATTATTTAGTGATCATAAGGCATGATTTGGTGATGTTTCAAATATTGTGATTAGTAGAAAACATATGGCACATAAGTTAGTATTTGATGATAAAAAAATAAAAGAAAACATGATATTTTATCATGTGGTTGCCAAGATTACCTAATAATTTTTGGAGAAATTGACCACCGCCAGCAAAAAAAGCAACAATAATAACATCATATGTGAGTGAGAGTGACCACACTGGTTTTACTGAAAACAGAAAACAGAAACAGTTCATCGAATCCAAGATTTTAAGGGCAATTGGTGAGATGGGCAGGCTCTGATCTCAACATGTCATATATCACTCTCAGAAAACTACCACTTATATAGAGTGATTATTTATTGTCTTCGACTATTACTCCATATTATCAAATTATATGTGTGCCTTGTACACGTGGAATCGAAACTACCTTCACTCAAGCCATCACAAGGTTTGCTTGAGCGAACATTGACTCTCCCAGTATATTTGCAGACAGATTGAACTTCTAAGAATAGGGATTATTCACTCGAGCAATCACTTTGTCGGTCGAGTGGTCCATGAAGAAACAGAAGAGACCACGGAATTGACAACACAAGAAACCTAACAATCTCCCTCTTTGCCAATTCTTGGGACAAAACACGTCTAACATTTGAATCCTAATAAACTCACACTCTAGAGAGAGAGAGAGAGAGAGAGAGAAACTTAACCATTCTAAAACACCACTACCTAACCACCATGCGAAGAGAATCAAGAATCAACCACCTACCAAGAACACACACATTCCAGAAATGTTAGAATTAGATAAATGGAAGATTAGCAGTGATAAACAAATGATAAACAACCCATAATCCATTCAAACCATCAAAACATATACTCTCCCTTTTTTATCAAGAGTAACAAAGAATAAAGCCAAAAAGTCACAACATAATAAGCAAGAAAATATGTCCAATCACAAAAAACAACTATCCAACAGAAAACCATCATGGACTCCTCGGGGCAGGTACTTTGCAGTTTGAGGATTCTTGCCAGATGCGCTGGCGAAAGGATCAGCCGGCGCTGCCTTGGCCTTTTGAACCTTTCCCGGTGCAGGGTTGGGAACTACAGGAACTGTCTGGGCATGACGGGGCCCATCCCGGTTTTCTGCCTGGCTTGAACTGCCTTTGATCGGAGTGGGGAAAGCATCATCCACAGCTTTGGTCACTATTGCAGACGTTTGTTGCTTGTTCATCCCTCTGACTTTCAGAGCCTCGACTGCCCACAGCAGTTGCTCAATGGGGTCGGCATCTATCTTCACCTTGTCTTTTCCTCTGGCCTCAGCCTGATTGAGAGTCTGGGTTGGTGCTGGCATGTCGTGGCTATAGTCGGAAGCCACCTCTGGCTGGCTGAGCTCTATCACAATCCGCCCCAGTAGCGGGGGCTCCTGTGGTACAAAATTCCCGGCATACGGCGCCGCTGGCGGTGAAGCCGACATTCCATAGGCGAGGTCTGCCACAGACCTTTGGAGATCGCCTATCATCCCCATCAATTTGGACACAATCACCTTGAAGGGTGTTGGCCACTGGACTTTGGGTCAAAAGGGTCAAGCTTCCTCACGAAAGGGCTTGGCCACTCTTTTGGGCCGATTGACCAAAGCAAAGGCCGGCCGACCAAAAACATTGCCGACCGGCCAACACTTTTGGCCGATAGCAAGAAAACAGGGTCGGTGGCCTCAGGCCATGGCCGGTGAGGTGTGGGGATGGCTAACAAGCTATTTCCCACCCTCAAAAGCAAAACAACAAGTGTTTGGTGCAAAACCAAACACAAAACAAACAAATCAAGAGGTCTTGAGGCAAGGCGCGTAGCTAAAACCTCCGAGAACTTAAGACGAACACAAACATGGGTGATCATCGAGTGTTCAAACGGTGACGTCCAAGTCTTGAGGACGGTCAAAAATGGGGTGTCTACAGATTACAATTGCAAAGTAAATGCGAACATGGAGGTAAACCGAAAAACCAGTTGAAACAAAAGAAGCTTTCATTCAAAGTTCAAATCAGAGTTACAAAGGAGCGGGACTTCAGCCCGGTTACAGTTTCTTTCCAAAAGTAAAAAGAAGAAAATACAAGATCAAGCAAAAAGGTCGTTAAGATCCGTATCCAGATCAACTCGGAGCCCGGTTTCAGTAGGTAGCTCGGTCACTTTGTCAACCAAGTCTTCCACCGGTGGCTCCACCCAAGCTGACTAAATAGGGGGATCATTGATGACCGAGGCATTGTTGGGCTCAGATTCTTCTTCGTCATCCTCAGCTTGAAGAAATTTTTGTTGAATGGCGTGGGCGTACTCCGCCATATAGCTCGGTATATGGAGGGGGGAAGAGTTGGTGCCAGCTATCACAGCTGGCACAAAATATCTCCATAAAGTGGATGAACAGTGGTCGGCTGCCCAAAAATGCTATTTCGACAAAAAACAGTGCCGACCGGCAACATATTATGCCGACCGGCAATAAAGTGTGCCGACCGGCAAACAAAAGTGCCGATGGAAGAAAAAGACCATCCGGTGGCCTCCAGCCACTGCCGGTGGTGTGTGGGGATGCCTCATAAGGCATTCCCTGCCCTTTCAAGGAAAAACACAAGTGTTCGGTGCAAAACCAGACACTAAACGGTCGAGTTCGGGGATCCTGAGGCAAGGCGCGCGAGCCGAGACCTCCGGGAACTCCAAACGAACACAAACAAGGATAATCACCGAGTGTTCAAACGGTGACGTCCAAGTCTTGAGGACGGTCAAAAATGGGGTGTCTACAGTGATACTAAGATAAGATATTCCACGTATCATGAAACCCTCAATCTTGCAAGATAGATATTATGAACATGATATCAGTAGCAGGCACAGTAAAGATGTATAAGTAAACATAGGCAGCACATGAATGCAAATCTCAAAGAAGAACATGATAGCTCACGAATTCAGTGTGTGCGTGTGTGTGTGTGTGTGTGCACGCGCGCGTGCGCAATCCTTGAGTGTCCACAATCACTAGAGTTAATCATAGTAGTGATCGGATGGCTGGACCTCTGGCAAGAAAATCTAAACACAACTGAGAAAATCAAACCACTAGGAATCAAGGGATATTTGTTGAATAAAATGTAGAGGTTCTCCCTCAATTAATGAATCAAATTTTTTATTTTTCTTGCTTTCTTTCTTTTGGGCACTCATTGGTGACTTTCATGCTCAGGAGTATAGAAACCAAACTAGAGAAACATAGATAAAATAAGGATAGCCTAGTTAATGCTTCTGAGGTAGCCTTTTCCTCATGCCTTGACTACAAAGAATTGAAGGAAAAGTCGTGGAGATGCAAAATGGTAGTAGGTGGTTAAGAGACTCAACATCACCCATGATGTGCTGGTACAGGTCAACTCCTCTAAAAATGCACCAAACACAACGCTAGTAGTCCATAGAAAAATTTGATCACTTATGCGGAAACCCCTACAACAGTTTAACTCAAGGATGTGTACAAAATGAAATCATCAAATCAATGAGAATGTACATTCAAAATGAGCCATGGAAAAATACATATGAACGTTGAATGCAGCACGAGAGGTGTTCGAATAAATCTATGCGTAAAGATGACAAGTATCAATGACAATGAGATTATAACATCCAAACACACAGAATGCCAATTGCTCACATCCACTCATGCAACAAGACACTCCTGAGGTCTTTCTAAGGAACTCAAACCTAAGAAGATCAAAGGATTTTGTAAAAATGTCAACTCTTTGTTGCTTAGTGTGTACATGTTCAAAAACAACACGGCCCTCCTCAACTAACTCTCAAATGAAATGGTGACAAATGTCAATATGTTTAGTGCAAGGGTGTTGAACTAGATTTTAGGAGATATTGATGGCACTTGTGTTATCACAAAAAAGAGTAAGTGAGTCCTGGTCTATACCATAGTCATGAAGCATTTGCTTCATCCAAATCATTTGAGCACAACAACTCACAGTAGTAATATACTCAGCCTCAGCGGGCGAAAAAGATATGGAATTCTGATTTTTATTATGCCATGCAACCAAATTATTCCCAAGGTAAAAATAACCTCCAAATGTGCTTTTGCAATCATCAACACACCCTGCCCAATATCAAAATAGTAAGTGATATCAGACGTGGTGTTGGATGAGAATCAAATTCCATCCCCAGAGTTACACTAACATACTTGGTAATATGTTTGATGGCTAAAGGTGAGAGACTCTTTAGGAAAAGCTTGATAATGGGCACAAACACCTATAATAAATGCAATGTCGAGCCGACTGATAGTGAGGTGCAAAAGACTCCTTATCATACTCCGATATAAAGTAGGATCAATATCAGTGCCAAAGGAGTCTTTAGACAGGTGAAAACTCATGCTCATAGGGGTCCGTACATGTTTGGCAGACTCTCGACCAAATACCCGACAGTAGCTGCGTAATTTGAAACCCTAAAAAGACTAACAATTCCCCCATCATGCTCATTTCAAACGATGTGTTATGCAATCTGAGAAATATTTCACAAGAGATTCAGATGTGGATCCAAACACAATATCATCAATATAAATTTGAGCAATGAGGATATGTGACATAGTATGTTTCACAAATAAGGTCTTATCCATACTACCCTTTTGAAAGTCATTATCAAGAAGAAATATAGTAAGCCTATCATACCAAGCCTAAGGGGCATGTTTCAACCTATACAATGCCTTGTCTAATTTGTAGAAATGATTTGAAAACTTAGGGTCCTCAAAACCCTTTGGTTGCTCAACAAGGCTTCTTCCTTCAAGTACCTGTTCAAAAATGCACTCTTCACATCCATCTAAAATAGTTTAAAACCAAGAAAACATGCAACAGTAAGTAAAATACGAATAGATTCGAGACGGGTAACAGGGGCACACATCTCATCATAGTCAACGCCCTCTACTTGTGTGTAACCTTGAGCAACCAACCTAGCTTTGTTTCTAACAACTGTACCATTCCCCTCGGATTTATTTTTAAAGATCCACTTGGTACCTATCACATTTATATCTCTAGGTCTAGGAACAAGAGTCCAAACTATCATCTAGTAAGGTCTCTTTTACATTCTTAGGTTCAATTAAAGAAACATAACACATGAGATATCTCCTTCAAAATTTGTTTTCGGGTTTTCATTCAATCCGAGACACTCCCTATCACTTGTTATATCGGCTGATTCAGCTTCACCCTTGTCAATGGCTCCAAGATAGGACTGTTAGTGACCTGAGTAGCAGTGGTGGTGTCTTTTTGTGCACTCTTTAGACTAGGGCTTGCCATGGGAGTTGGTGTTTGTTCGCCTTTGAGCTTTGCTTTGAGCTTCTCCTTGACTTTGTGGTGCCACATCCAGATTTTGAGGATCACTATCTTCTTCCTCATGTAAAGATGCTATTGGAGAACTTGTGTCACCTGCAACAACATTGATAGATTCCATTATAGATAAAGTACGAAGATTATAGACACGAAAAACTTTACTTGTGGTTGAATACCCTAGAAAAATGTATTTATCACTACTGGAGTCAAATTTTCCCAAAGGCTCTCTATCTTTGAAAATATAACACTTACTTCCAAAAGTTTTGAAGTATTTTACATTAGATTTCAAATCTTTCCACAATTCATATGGAGTTTCTAATGTGTCAAACCTTAGATACACACGATTCACCACATAAACAGCAATATTTAAGGCTTCAGCCCAAAACTTGAGAGGAACTTTCTTACTAAGAAGCATAACCCTAGCTTTCTCTTGAACAACCCTATTTTTCCTCTCAATAACTCCAGTTTGCTGTGGGGGGGTAATACGTGCAGAAAATTCATGTTTAATGCCATACATATCACAAAAATCCAAAAATGACATATTCTCAAATTCACAACCATGATCTATTCAGATTCTTATGATACGCCCAATAGACACACCATATTCATTTTGGATTTTTAGGACTAAGTACTTGAAAGCATCAAACGTATCAAATTTTCCTCTTAAAAATTTTACCCATGTGAATCAAGTATAATCATCAACAATTAAAAATATATATCTTTTATCCCCAATGCTTTCAGTATGAATAGGTCCCATAAGATTTATATGAATAAGCTCAAGAGGACACTTGGTTGTTAAGCTATTCACCTTCTTGTGAGGGGCTCGAGTTTTCTTACCCAATTGACATGGCCCGCACACTTGGTTCACAATCTTGCCCATTTTGGGCACTTCTCTCACAATCTCTTTGTTGGGTATCTTAGTTAGGCCTTTAAAATTGATGTGACCTAGTTGTTGATACCATAAGTCTAGATTACTTATGATGGCCGAGTGACAAGTGAGATCATTAGTAGTAACAATCTCATAGCAATTATCAGATGCGTGAACCCCATGCATGACAGTATTTCCCTTTTTGTTTAAAATTTCACATTTATTTTTTGAAAATAATACCTCATGATGTGAGTCACACATTTGACTAATGCTCAAAAGATTAGCTTTATGGCTATCAACAAGCAATACATTTTCTGAATTAAAAGACTGGGGACACTTGTAGAACCCTTACCAATGACTCTAGAGGTGCCACCATCTCCAAAGGTAACAATTCTTCCTTCATATTTCTCAAGGGATGCGAAGTAGGATTTGTCATCTGACATGTGATGAGAGCACCCACTATCAAGATACCACAAGTGCGAGTCACGTGCTTTCAGGGCAGTGTGAACAACAAAACAAGTCAAGTCACTCTTTCTTACCCATATCTTTTTGGTCTTCACAAAAGGAGGACTGACATTCTTGGAAGATGTCTTAGCATTGTGAACACCATTATGAATCATGGTATTCCATCTAGACATGTAAGGTTGTCTCCTAACCCATGAAGTATTAGTATTTCTAACTTTTTGAGACACCTTACCAAACAACTCAAAACAGCAAGTGTGAATGTGGCTATACCTACCACAATGATGACAAATAAAAACAAGTTTTACCTTCCTTTCATTGATCATACCACCTTTAGGTTGATGGAAAGACTTGTCATCCTATTGAATCTTCAGTTTTCCCTTTGCTTGAGTCCTTTTGTCGTGAGATATAGTGGCCTTCCCCTTTTGTAGTGTAACGTCACCATAGCCTATCCCACTTTTGTCACAACCCATCTATTGAGACCCAATGATGTCTTCCAGTGTCATTTATCCTCTGTTCCACATGTTAATTGTAGCTCTAGCACTCTTGAGTTCTTTCTCTTTCTGGCTGAGCAGCTCTTCCAAGGCAACTTGAGACATCTCAAGGGATTCAATATTTTCTTCATATGTGGCATAGATTTTCAGAAGCTTATTCCTCTCGGTCTCACAGGTCAAAAACTTCGCATAAAGAGCTTATCTATCACTTGAGATCTTAATGACATCCTTTCGAGCTGCAGAGATCTCCTCCTTTAGCTTGACATTCTCTCATTGACATGCTTTGAGTTTGATAGTAAGTTTGTCATTCAACCTAGATAAGTTTACAGATTCCTTGTATAGATTTTCATAAGCTTGTTGAAGCTCTTGAGATTTCATCGTCTTCTTTTTGTTTATCTTCCTCCTCAAGAGCATCTAGTCAAGCAACTAAGGCATTGATGTGGATATTGCTGGATGGTTCTAAAGATGACTTTTCTCTTTCATGGAATTGCATAAGAATAGCCCATGCATCTTTGTCATTCTTGCAATGATAGATCTAATGTTGTTCTCCTTCAGAAAGTGCTTCTCGGATGGTATTTAAAACTCTTTCACTACTCTCCATGTCATCCCTTTCAATAGCACTCCACTCCTCAGTCGGCTTGGCAATCTTTTGATCGGTGGCCAGATTAATCATAAAATGTGCATCAACATTCTCCTCAATTGTGCACCAACTTTCAGGATCCCAAGCTCTGAGATACACCTTCATTCTACACTTCGAGTACAAATAATTACTCCTATCAAAGGTAGGAGCCCAATACGAATTAGGCCCACGAGCAAACTCAACTGACTTGGGAGTGGTTGAGTGAAGTTAGAGTAAAATGCCATGAAAGTACTATCTCCATTTTCACCAGATTTGGTTTAATTAGCTTCTTGTTCTAACCCGTTTTCATCATCCCAAGTCACTGTATAGATTTTCTTTCAGTTCTTCTTGGAAGGACATTCGAGAGCAATATGCCCAAACCCTTGGCATTCATAGCACTTGACTCCCTATCCTCTCATAGTCTTCTTTTTAGTTTTTGGAGCAGCTTTGGGTTGAGCAACTTTGGGTTTATCATGACCCTTATCTTTACAGCTAGTGTCCTTGAAATTAGGCTTCTTTTTCTTTAAATTTTTTTGAATTGTTTAGTAAACATAGCCGTCATTTCAGACTCTAGATCAATTTCTACCTCAGGGTTCTTAACAGTCTAATGAGCACTAGAAAAAGCTATTTGTTTTTTCTTTGGAATCAGATAAGCCTCATAAGTTTGCAAGTTTCCAACCAACTGATCAACCTTAAGGGTCTCAATATCCAGAGCCTCCTCTATAGCTATTACTTTTAATTGGAACCTATTGGACAAAGACCTTAAAAATTTTCCAACTATAGATTCAAGGATTTTTTTCACCGAGTGTGAAACAAGAATTCACGATGTCACAGAGTTTAGCATAAAAATCATTAAACATCTCATCCTCACTCATAAAAAGAGTTTCAAAAGAAGAAGTGAGACGTTGAAATTCTAACCTTTTGACAAAAGTAGTACCCTCGTGAATTATTTCAAGAATGTCCCAGGTCTCTTTTGCCATCTCACATGTACAAATACATTGAAACTCTTCTAGGGTGACAAAGCAAAAGAGAGCATTGAGTGCTTTACTGTTCCAACTCGAATTTTGATAATCAATTGTATCCCATTTATCAATTGGCCTGGGAATTTCAATGCCATCAATGGTAAGCATAGGTTCACTCCACCATAGATAACAGAGTGCCAAACTTTCTCGTCAATAGATTCTAAAAATGCCCTCATACAAGCTTTCTAATATGAATAGTGTGTTCCATCAAGTAAAGGAGATTTTAGACACCCCATTTTTCACCGTCCTCAAGACTTGGATGTTCTTGCAGGTACATCCGATGATAAGTTTGATTGCTCATCGAGCGCTCGAAGTTCGTGGCGGAACGCCACAGGTTTGACTTTTCCAAACCCTGCATCCATTATGTCTCATCTTTGGACAATGCTTATGTCCTTTTAGCTTGATGTTGTTGATGGCCTGCCGGCCATCCTTGGGCACTACCGGCCATCACTGATGGCCGGCCGGCCACCAGTGCATCAGTAGATATTTTCTGATATTTTGTGCCAGTTGTTTGCACAGATTGAAGCATCTTCCAACACGTGTGTGGATGGATCTTTATGAGAGAATTTTGCATTGTCTATATATAGAAGCCCTCTCTTGCATGTAGAGGGGTTAGAAAATTTTGAAGACAAAAAAATTCTCTCTCTCTCTCTTGATATTTTGGGCCTTATAGCCTAAATTCTCTACACTCTTGCATATGAACTCTTGATCAAACTTGATGACCATTGTGTTGAGGTTACTTGAGGCCCTCTTTGAGCTTTAGAAGAGGATTTTAGGAGGGGTTAGCCTCCCCTCCTTGTGTCTTGTTTGCATGCCTATATAGCTTTATATGTTAGCCTGTTTTTCTAGCCTAACTTAGCTTTTGTCCAGCATGTTTTTGCAATGCAACACAACATGCTTATCTTGCTCAAGTTTTACTTGTCACTTTTGTTTACTCATTTTAAGTTACCAACTCATTCTTTAATTGATTTAGTCCATTGGTGAGAGTCCTCTAATGGAAAGAGGGCTTAAGCCACAAGTACCTTGAGCATGAAAGAGGCCTCATGCTGTTGGTAATGAACTCCTGAAAGAATTAAACTATTAGGCATGAGGGTCTCAATTCCACACTCACGCCAACAAGGGGCTCAAAGCCACTTTCAAAACAAATGAAAGAGTGAAGAATAGAGGGAGATTGCAGAGATTTCAATGCTGAAATGGAGTGCAAAAAGACATTAAAACATGCAAGCAACTCATGCAAATCATGTTTAAAAGCCTAAAACATTATGCCAGTGAAGGAGATTGCACCACAACCATACAATACAAGCCTCAAAGAGCCAAACCAGCTCAAAACAGAGGTTAAAACATGAAGTCCAAAATAGGAGGGGTTAGCCTCCCCTCCTTGTGTCTTGTTTGCATGCCTATATAGCTTTATGTGTTAGCCTGTTTTTCTAGCCTAACTTAGCTTTTGTCCAGCATGTTTTTGCCACTGTTTTGCCTAGTTTTAGCTCTGTTTTGAGCTGGTTTGGCTCTTTGAGGCTTGTATTGTATGGTTGTGGTGCAATCTCCTTCACTGGCATAATGTTTTAGGCTTTTAAACATGATTTGCATGAGTTGCTTGCATGTTTTAATGTCTTTTTGCACTCCATTTCAGCATTGAAATCTCTGCAATCTCCCTCTATTCTTCACTCTTTCATTTGTTTTGAAAGTGGCTTTGAGCCCCTTGTTGGCGTGAGTGTGGAATTGAGACCCTCATGCCTAATAGTTTAATTCTTTCAGGAGTTCATTACCAACAGCATGAGGCCTCTTTCATGCTCAAGGTACTTGTGGCTTAAGCCCTCTTTCCATTAGAGGACTCTCACCAATGGACTAAATCAATTAAAGAATGAGTTGGTAACTTAAAATGAGTAAACAAAAGTGACAAGTAAAACTTGAGCAAGATAAGCATGTTGTGTTGCATTGCATGTGTTCAATCAGACGTTATATTGAGCACAAGGAAGATTGGAGCATTTCATACTCAAAGTGATGAAATGTGCCAATATCCTTGGTCTCCATTGCCTTTGATCGCACATGATAAGGTGGTGGTCTTTAGTCTTGCCT